ATTAATAACACTTCAGTCTTTGCAGTAGGTCATCTTTTCGTTTGTGCATGCTTTACATCCAGGTATGGTACCTGTTGGAATAGTGAGATTGGCCATCGCAATGGCTTTGTAGTAAGACACCTCGTGCTCCACAACATAATCATCATCTGGATAATGATCAAAAGTTGTAACTGCCTGAAGAATATCCAAGATCAGCAGAAAGACACAAATTTCTTTCGCTATACTTTTAATCATGCTAGCTGCGAGTCTTCATTATTCTTTATCCTTGATTTTGATATCGCTGTTATTACATTTGCCTTATATTATGTACTCTATTGTTTATCATACATAAAACTGCTCATTCATTAAAATGCTTCTTCTTTATCTTTGAGTGTGAAGAATCCATTCAAATATTTATCACATTAATTGACTAAACATTATAATGAAGCAATAATTTATTAGCACAATAAATAACAGTATAAATACTAACTCTGGATTTGAAAAATAATTTAAAATTAAATTAAATAAATAGTCATAATAAAACCGTTAAATGTCAACGATAATACGAGCCGCGTGACACGTGCATCAACCACCGAAGACTATGAACTGAGTGAAACTGCGCGAGGGGCTGAAAAGAGCCTATTATTAATTATTATATTTCTTCCCTGAAGTAGTTGCATGTCTCAAAAATTCTTATCTGCACCTAAATAATAATTATTATTATTATTCCTTACCAACTTATAAATTTTTACACAACTATATTAATTGTCAAAGTGAAAAAAAACATTTTTGCAGAAAACTTCAATTATTATTAAACGTTATTTATTATTAAAAATTTACCAATAATATAAGTCTTAATGTTTTAATTATTCATTAAAATTTAAAAATTTAATTTTTTAATTAAAAAAAAATTATAATAAAAAGTAATAAAATTGTTAAAAAAGTTAGTAAATCATGCCATGACAATGAGAAATTCTTTAATTATTATTTTTTCTTCTCAACTTAAACTCTATCATCCCATCTGTTTCAATGTTACAATGAGGGCATTGTAATTTTGTTCTCTCCGTAATTCTAGACTGATTTCCCGCTGTGACAACCCGAACGGCACACCTTTTGCACGTTAAGCCCTGGTTGCATGCATTCCACATAATGCTTACTGGTTGCTCTGCGCAGATTTCGCAGTTTAAGCAGTAGCCCTCACCTATGTAACAAAAAACAAATGAACTTAAAACAAATTACACTGGTGGGAGGAATGCGAAGAGGTACAGAGAATTACAGGTGAAAAATTTTCTAAGACAGAAAGAAAGAATTATTAATCACCTTCAGTGTCAGTTGGTAAAAAGATGCGTTCGGTCCTCGCAATTGTCTTCTGACACACTGAACATAATTTATGACTTCGTCCAGACGCGCAACCAGAACACATCTCAACGTGTTTACATGGGAAATTTATTGTCGTCACCAATTTTACTTTGCAGCGGCTGCATTGTGAATCATATAAATAATTACCTGAAATAATTATATGCTCAATGATGAATATTACCTATATTAATAAGAGAATAAGCGAAATTTTATGGCCAGTGTATTTATATGATAAAAGGTTGGAAAGGTCTTGACCTGAAGTTGTGCCTTTTTAATGTTTCATTTACTTCTCTAAAGTAATTTATTTATTACGATACAGTAATTATAAATAGATTTGAATTTAGCAATAAGCTAAATTTGTTAATTTTTTTATTTTGTTTTGTGTACACGTCAATGTAGTTATATGTCTAAAATTTATTTATATAATCAAGAGAGTAAGTTAAATTCTATAACAAGTATACCTTTATCGTAAGTTAGATTTGAAATTTTTTTTTAGTGATAATCATTTTTAATGTAGATAATTGATAGAGAAAGGAAAATTTTGTGACGAGCGTATTATTAAAAAAAAAAATTTTTGTAGTTTAATTTGATATCATAAGAAAGGTCGAGACAAAAATTAGTGCTTATGAATGAAAAAAATAATAATTCATAACTTCTCACCATCAACAACTTCATTATCATCATCTGTTGGCTGCAGTTCATTTACTATCCGCTCGATTTCATCTAGAGCTGAACGGCTACGCCTTGCGAAAGGCCGCTCTTCGATGACATCGCCATCATCAATCTGATTGCGAATGTTGGGAACGTATTCATTTGCTAAAAAAAAAAAAGATAAGCAATTATACAAAAATTTTAATACACAATAATGTTTAAAATAATGATAATTATTCTTACGCAGCTCATATAAGTCGTGGCTAACAATAGTTAATTCTTCTGGTAAAATGTAATTGTTAAAAAACAAATCATTGTAATATCCGGCCATCACATTAAACCCTCGTTCTAAAAATTCGCTAGGGTTGATGATATTTTCAGTTAATTGTTGCCATAGTTCTTGCACTTTTGATGGGAGGTCCTTGTTTCCAATGCTATCAAACGACTTGTTTATTTGAGAGACATAAGTTGGTCTCTTATTATCGTCGTTAATAATTTTTTCATAATCCTTAGTTATTTTTGAGAAATTAATACTGACAAATCCTAAAAAAAAAAAAAAAAAAACGGAGTGACTATTAATACGAAAGGCTAAATAAATAAACCATTATTATTATAACATAGGCCTCGTTGATTTTTTTTTATTTATGAAATATTTAAGCATGAAGTAATTAAAATGTATGTCATATTTGATTAAAAAAAATTTTTTTCGAGTACATATCGAAAAATAAGTTTTTCAACTAATGAATATTTATGTGGAGGGTATTACGATTAATTGATAGTTCAAGTAAGGGAAATATTTTTTTTTATAAGAAATAAAACAATTAAAATAGATTGTAAATATAGAGAAGCATTTAAAAAATTATATATTCTACTATTTAATAAGTTGTTAATTTAACAAAGTGTTAGATTGTCAATTTTAGATATTTTTCTTTTTGTTTTGATATTAAAATGAAAAAATTAATATACAAATGCTTAAATAGTAATTTATATATATTTAAGAGCTTTCATAATTCAAAAAAATACTCGATCTTAATATTTTAAAAACAAATATCGACGGTCTAATTAATAATTTGTCTAACTCCATATTTTCTAGAGGGTGACTTTTTTAACATTTTGATGTAGCCATAATCAAATTATAAATTATTTGAATGATTCAAATCTAAATGTTATATCTCTAATAAATAATAATGATATTAAATGGTTTTTTAAAGTGATAATGAATTGCCGGTCCAGCTGCAGCCACGAGGAATCTACCACCGTTGGACAACGTTAAAGCACACCGAAGTGGTAGTAGTACCTGTTGTAAGTCAGGTGGTATATTGGTAAGAATTGGACGCGGTATTGAACTTACTTTGAGCTGTATTTTTTCAATATTTGTATTTGTCGCCCATTTAGCTCTATTTTTCTAACTAAGCGATCAGCGGAGCAGTACGCGGTAGAGGTTGGTTTTGTGTCGGAGCTGAACCCACTTTTCAACGAGTATCGCCACCCACGATTTGCCCTGGACCATATTCTTTTCTCTAACCAATTTAGCTATTTGTAGCTTTGAAAGCTATCGGCTTGGTCCGCCGTAAAATCTAAAGCTACAGGCATCTGGAGCAGCATCGACTCTTATAAGCCACGGCTTCGAGTTGGTTACACTCTAGGTGTAACGGGCGTGTCTTTTCGGCCCAGTTCGTAGAGTTTATTTAACTAAAATTTAGATAATTTATTTCATACTTAATTAATAATTTAAATAAATTTAAGTAATTTATTTTGTGAAGTAAAAATTTGTTGTCTCTACGAACAGTCGAGACCAGCCACGTTTCAGAATTTTGAACTAATTGTTTTTTTCATACAAATAGAAGATTCTCTACAATGGAGTCAGACAATTTACTAATTAGAACGTCGATATATAATTATTCATGATCAAGTTAATAATTACTCTGAAATTTAACATAAAGTATTATAAACTGAATTTATTCTATAACTGAAATTGAAAAAAATAATTTTTTAGATTGTGGTTCAATAGACGATATTGATATAGATTCTGATGTCTCATAAGATATGCTGATGCACAAAAGAAAAAACCGATATTAGGAATGATTAGAAAATAAACGACATTCAATTTTTTACAAAGAACTAGGCAAGATAATTAATAAATATGAAGACTGTCGAAAAAATAATAAAAAATAATTATCAACAGCCAAATAAAACTGTTAAAAATAATACAGCGCTGAAAAAAACTTTAATTATTAAAAAATAGAACGTAAATCATTAATACCTATAAATTTCCAGAATCCTGGATTATCACTCTGCAATTTGTTTAACAAAACTCTTTGATGAATCTCACTACAATCATTGATAGAACCAATGTCTCCAAATAGGCTAAATTTGGCGGGGGTGAAATCGGTTATCCATTTGGATTGATAATAAGTGAACAATCCTTCCAATTTATTCTTCAAATCGTCCGTACAATCTTCTTTTAATTGCTCAAATTCCGCTTCTATTTTATTGTGCGGAAGTAAAGACATAGTCATCAACTTTCTCAGGACTTCATCAGTTGCCTCCGTTTTTTCGTTGACTTTTTCTGTGGCAACCGCATGCAGAACCTTAAAAAAATATATATTAATTAATTTTTTGATAATTTTCGATTTAAACAATCAGAAAAAATTACAATTTACAGTTTTCAATACAATTTTTTTATGATATATACGCAGAAAGCAAAAGTTCTTGACTAGAGAACAAAATTCTTGGATTAAGAAAATTTTCGGGTGCCTGAAGGAAGACCGAAGTTGTGATGGCCAAAGTAAAAATTTTTCTTTATATTCTATTCTTGGTGGAAGTTATTTTTTCTCAATTCAAATTATCATAATTACTTGATACAATAAATTTTTACATAAGATCAAGATTTTTAGATACTTCAGAGAAGCAGCGTCACTTACTTAAGCTGAGAAAAAAATTTTCTCCCCTTGAGCAAATTTTTCTCTTGAATATTTGATACCTATTTTTAATTATTGTAGCTTGCAATTATACATATTGAATGAAAAACAAATGATTCATCATTATTTGATATTCCCATTTGACATGTTAATCAATAATAATATTAATAAAAATTTATTTTTATCAAGATATTTAATTTTTTGGAGCAAGAGAGAAATTTTCTCAAAAGAAGAAAATTTACTTCTATCAAGAACTTAATTTTTTGGACCAAGAGGCTGAATTTTCTCAAAACAACAAGATTTTCTTGGCTTAAATAAATTGTCTTAGATTAAGATCCTTTAAATTAAAATACATGAGTTTTGAAGTTAGCCAAAGGTCGAAACTCGCAAAAAACGGGCCACGATTCCTTATTGGTTGAAATTAAGGCGCGCGCGTAGCGCGCTATTTAAATTTCTAGTACTTTAAATTAAAATACATGATTGTCTTGAAGTTAGTCAAAGGTCGAAACTCGCAAAAAACGGGCCACGATTCATTATTGGCTAAAATTTAGGCGCGCGCGTAGCGTGCTATTCTAATTTCTAGTACGTATTTATTAATGCAAGAGAATTAATTTTGTTGGAATAAGTGAAATCTCATCTGTCAAAAAAAATTTTTTTTCAGTTAAAAAAATAATCAAGAAGAAAAATATTTTCACAGGAAGTGAACCTTTTTTTCGGTGTAGTACCACAAATCGCGCAAGTACCAAACAACAAGACTTTGTATAGTATAAACAAAAAAGATTAATGAAGGAGAGAAAAAAGAAAATAAACTTGTGTACAAGTATTTGCGATAAGGTGCAATAAAAGCACTAAACTAATAATTAATAATTGCAAACTTACGATACAACGTGTAATTTTTGCGAGTTATCTCGGCGCGTTTTAACGAGATTAACTTAGCATTAAAAGAAGAAACAGATTTTAAAAATGAATAATAAGTCACTGCGATATACTGGTGAAAAATACAAATATATTTTATATATAAATAAGTTTAATTATTAATATTATTTTAATTATTATTTTATAAACATATAAATAAATATATTAAATAAATTATCCGTAAGGTGGTCGATAAATATACGATAGATGAACGCAAAAATTTCAATTAATTTTTTTTTATCCCTTTCTTTTATTAAATTAATAGAAAAAAAATGATTCATCATTATTTGATCTTCCCATTTGACATGTTAATCAATAAAAATGTTAATGAAAATTTATTTTTATCAAGATATTTAATTTTTTGGAGGAAGAGAAAAATTTTCTCAAGACAAGAAAATTTACTTCTATCAAGAACTTAATTTTTTGGAGCAAGAGGCTGAATTTTTTCAAAACAACAAGATTTTCTTGGCTTAAATAAATTGTCTTGGATTAAGATACGTATTTTTAAATGCAAGAGAATTTTGTTGGAATAAGTGAAATCTCATGTGTCAAAAAAAATTTTTTTTCATTCAAGAAAATAATTAAGAAGAAAAATATTTTTTTCCTGATTCAAGTGAACCTTTTTTTCGGTGTAGTACCGCAAATCGCGCAAGTACCAAACAACAAGACTTTGTATAGAATAAACAAAAAAGATTGATGAAGGAGATAAAAAAGAAAATAAACTTGTGTACGAGTATTTGCGATAAGGTGCAATAAAAGCACTAAATTAATAATTAATAATTGCAACCTTACGATACAACGTGCAATTTTTGCGAGTTATCTCGGCGCGTTTTAACAAGATTAACTTGGCATTACAAGAAGAAACAGATTTTAAAAATGAATAATAAATCACTCCGATATACTGGTGAAAAATACAAATATATTTTATATATAAATAAGTTTAATTATTAATATTATTTTAATTATTATTTTATAAACATATAAATAAATATATTAAATAAATTATCCGTAATGTGGTCGATAAATATACGATAGATGAACGCAAAAGTTTCAATTAATTTTTTTTTATCCCTTTCTTTTATTAAATTAATAGAAAAAAGTTTGGAAAATCCAAAATTGCACGACTCATAATGCTCATTTAATTATAAAATATTAAAAAAAAAAAAAAAAGACAAAATAAACATAAGTCGTTCAAAATTAGTTGCCGAAAAAACAGCTGTACTAGGAAGGTACTGCACAAGCGCCTCTGGTGGAATAAATATACATAATATCTATAGATATGTCACCTTCCATGTTAACTTTACATGGATATATATAGATATACAGTCTTTG